ATTCCTGGGTTAATAATAATTTTATATCACATAATCAAAGCATTCTAGATCATTTGAGTATCCTTGGTGCTTTAGCATTTTACTCAAATCATTTTGTGATCACTTACGAAATCCATTCCATTTTGAGGGCATCCATCTATATAATTCCGTAAATAAAAAGCAGCTATATCTGTAGAGCTTTCGATTCTCACCCTAATGTGGTGTGCATCATATTAGATGATTACAGTGAGGAAAGTCTAAGTTCTAATGACTGAAAAGGTGGCTTTGGGCTTTTCATTTATCCCAGAAGGTTAACAGCTTTTACCAACTATTTAGAATTGACATTTTCATTTTCCCCACACAGCCACCTCCTTTCCTATAATGCTTTCTTCTTTTCTGACCTACAGATCTTTTAGGTTGTAAAAGAGAACATGAAATTGACACTAAGTATAGCTTTATTCAAGTTTAGAAGACAGTAGTACTAATTGCAAAAGTATTTATAGGGAAGAATGCAACACAGTCAAGACCCAGACTTCAAAGACCAAGAAAGAAAAAAGAGGACAATTTTGACCAAGGGATATTCAAAGATATTTGCACATGCCACTTTCTTTCCTTCTTTCTTTTCCTTCTTCTTCTTTTCTCCTAATTTATTTGGAGCAAATTTATTTTTCCTCTTTTAAGGGGGGAAAAGCAAACTATTTAGACTTGTAGCATTGTTTTTTTTTTAAAGTAAAAAATTATAATTCAATAGAGTTCTTGTGAGCATGTGCATTGTTTAATGATATTTGAGTCATAGATGAAATAGTTTTTTAAACATCAGAATTGCCTTTTAAATGGGCCAATGCTTAATGAAATAAATAGGCCAATAGAAACTACTTTGTCACAAGATTAGTACCAATATTATGATACCGAGTATAACTTGTAAACCAGTCATAAAGTTTGGTGTTACTATTTGTTGTTTGTTGTTATGATTTGTTTTTTCTGCATTGTATAAAAATTCATTGAATAAAGAATAATTTAATACCAAGTGGCTCCCAAAATACTAAACTACCAATACTAAGCTAAAGAATTTCTAGCACATTGGCCAACTACTTGCTAAGTCTTTTAACAGGTACAAAACCACAGTTCATACTTCTTAAATGGTAATATTAAAAAGTCTCAGATTGTTCGTAAATCTTGGTTATCAAAGCTCTCCAGATGTCCAGACATTCATGCAAAAAATAAAATAAGCCCCATCATTTTATGTCCAAAAACTAAAGTTATTTCAGTAAAACATAGCTAAAATAAATCTGAAATATTTTAAACATTATTTTAGAGAAGAGCTAACTACTATGGAATTTTTTCCCCTTTTTAGTTCCAAGAGCTTAAATGAAACATTCATGCATTAAATTCAAAGTCTGACTGTCAAATCATTTCACTTTAATAAAAATTTGAATTACCTGCCTTAGGGCATTATTAAATATCAAATAAAAAGCACATATACATAAGTCTGATTTCCCAGTATAAATTTTATGTAGAACTATGACTAGATTTGTATTACACATTTCAAGATAAAAGGATAAAAACAATGTATTCATAAAAGGATGAAATCAGAACTGGAGCCCCATTAGAAAGAATTCTTGTGCCATTCTTGCAAGTTTGGGGGGGAGGAATTACCCCTTTTAATCAATCTCAGGCACTAAGATATGAACTTAAATTCATCTTTCTTTTAAAAAACGTGAACTGTAACTAATTTAAATTTTTGAAAAAATTATACAATAGTCCCTTCTCATAGAATGAAGTATCTATAACATACATAATCTCATAAACAACATTTAAGTGTGTATGTGTGTTGTGAAAGAGAAATTAAATGGTGATGGTTATTAAGATATTTAGAGAGAGACAACTCTGGTGTAGGACCTGATATGGATCAAACATTGAAGGCAATAATCTTATTCCATTTGAAAGAGTCATTTACAGTTACAGACATTCACAGAGAGAAATCAACTCTGGACTGGAGAAATTCACAAGTTCACTGTTCACGCTGCCTGCTCATGCCTCCCTGCCACTATCCCATTTCTCATTAAAAAATAACATCAACTCATGAATACATTCAATCAATAAACCACCACTTCCTTCCTCCCTCCTGTTCCAGCATAGAATGTGTCTATTCCCTCAATAAATACAAGTCTTCCCGTATGCTGAGACCCCTCCAGTAGCTTCACTGGTAGGATTAATAGCCTTTCCCTATCTACATGCTATTCTGCATCATGATAGACAAGTTCTGGTATTTCTTTTGTTTTTCCAAAAATAAAATGAAATAGAGAGCCCTCCCCCCATCTTAGGCCCTCCCTGGCTGCAGCCTTCCACTAAACACCTCCCTCCTATCACCTTCGGCCTGATGCAGCATGCATCCTTCATTGTTATGCTGCTCTGACCACTGTGGGGGGGGGGGCTCTTTGACCTCTGCCCATGTTCTGGTTAAGAAAACTTGCCCTGTCAAGTCAAGCTACATGGGTCAGGCTTCCAGATTTTGCTGCTCAAGAACTGTATTACTCTGGGCAATGACCTAACTTCTGCATCTTGGTTAAATTAACACCTCTGAAAAGCCTCATGTAAGTTTTTATGAACATTTAATGAGCTAATCCCACCAGATCCATTAGAATATCATATATACACATACATAGAGAGATAAATCATCTCTATGCTAAATACATTTATATTTCAGCCCAGACCACTTTTCTGATCTCTACTCTTGAAATTCTAACAATCACAACAAGCTCACTGTTGTGAAAGACAGGCATCTCTCTCTCAATGTGCTCTAACTCAACTCTATATTTCCAACTCCAAGACGGACTATTTCCCCGGGTTTCCAACTGTCACTCAATAGCATTCTTAACTCACTCACTTCCTTAAGCCCCAAACCTCAGCAGTTTTCTTTCGCATTTTCATTTCCTTGCACCTTCTCCCAATACATCATCAGATACCACCTACAATTTCTATTTCCTATAAATTAACATCCCTCCACCTCTGTTGCTTCTATTCTAGGGTCTGAGCCTCCATGTCTATCACCTTGGCTACTCAATGGACTTGTAAAATATCTTTCTACTCCTGCCCTGGCCCACTGTAATCAAATTCATTCAATTTTCCAGGTAGGATCAACCTCTAAAAATACATATGGGATCAGGTCACTCCCCTGAGTTCAAATATAACAGTAATGAAATAAAGGTGCCTTAAAGTGGCTGACAAGACCGTCGGAGATTTGGGCTTTGCTGGTTTCACACCTTTTATTTCTACATGCCAGACTCACAGGGCTTTCTTTCAGATACCACAATGCATCAAATTCTTACTTCTTCTCCCCTGAGCACTTCCTCGGGATCTTTGTCAAAAAAAAAAAAATTATTCCCCCATCTGGCAGTTCTTTCCCCACATTGCTTTGTTATTCTCATTCATGGAATTCATTACAGTTTACAATTTATGATCCTGGGCACCATGAGAGCAGAGACCATGTCTGTCCTTCTCAGCTTTGTAATACCCAGTCATACAGTAGGTGCTCAATAATGACTTCTGATTGACTATCCTCCATTATAAGGTTTAGCCTAAAGCACCTTAGATTTTTCTCATTACCATATATGTATTACTGAAAATTTCTTTTCATTCTTACCAAAGGTAAATTTACCCGACCCTGGCCAAGTCCAAAATTAGAAAGAGGAGACAAATGGTACCAGCTAACTCAGAAAAGGAAAATGCAGAATGGGAAGGAGGTGAGCTTGGATACAACCTGCAGAGTCCTAAGGAACTTCTAATTGGCCTGATTCATAGTAAAATAAATGCATTTCAGCCCTTAAGAAGCTTGAAATAAGAGAGAATAATAAGATTGACACAACTAGCTGCAAGGAAGAAAGAATATGCAATGTGAGGCGTGGTCAAAGAGAGAAGCAGAGATATCTGGTGAGAATGGTATTGGAGCGAGGCCTTGGGGTAGCGAGGAAGTCAGTTGGCAAAGCTCACTCACCAAAGATAAAAGGCAGGGTGAATAGAGTACTGTACAGGGATAATAGAGAGGCAAGAAAAATTCTTGGGCAACACATGGATGAAATGACCCCCCGTGAAAATTCCCATGTGCTTTGTCCAGTTCATGAAACTTTCAGCTCCTTGAGGAGAGAGATTTCTACTCATGCATGACTCCCCAGTCCAAAGTTCCTCTGGACATGGTTTCAGAAGTCCACACCTTCAACAGTTCACCACACTGTCTAGGCCCTGTCCTGCCTCCCTAGGCATCATTCCAGCAGATACCTCCTCTCAGGGGAAGCAGGGGCCTGCTTCAGATGCTAAGGCAACACACAAGGTAAAGAAATAGTCCAGCACATAGGTATCTTTGTGTGTTTTCCTTTCCATGTTTGTGATGTTGTTTTGTTAGCTACTAATGGGTAAGGAATATATATACTGGCAATTCAATATATTAACGTATGTAGATTATAAAACATTTACCTCTCCAGAAGATTAACACATGCTTCTTGAGCAGACAAAAGGACTTAAATAGGATAGTATTTCAGTTCATGCTACATCTGCCCCATATAACCCAACAAATAAGACAGTCAGATCTGCCTTTGACAAGAGGATCAATGTAGAGGCTCGCATGCTTTTCTAGTCCATTCCTTTGTGCTCCTTCATCATGGAGAGTACAGGGAGATGGCTATGGTTTCAGGAGGAGGCAATATAGTGAGTTACTGAAGAGCTCCTGGCATAGCCCTGTTCTTTTTCTCATATGCTTTTCCTGTGAAAACCAATATTTAAAGTAAAATGGAATTAATGGCTGCTCTGGTGGGAAAATATGAGACTCATAGGTTTCATGCACATTGCATGAAATTAAAATAACTACCTGATTTGTTGCTAATGAGGCATGAGAATATGTCCTAAATTTTATTAAGATCAAGTGTACTTGTTTTATTACTAAATTAGCAGGTTAACCGCAAGAGGGACTTTGGGATGCTGGGTTTAGTTAACTGTGCACCTCATTTTCCTTCTCAATCTGCACATACCTTGATGAAGATGGGCTTGTTCCTGCTCTCTGGTTACTGAAATGCAGCTCTTATGACTCTGTCGCTAAGTGGTTGAGTGGGTCGAAAGTTGTCTCCCAAAATCCCATCGCAGCCTTCCACAAGTTCTGCACCCTTAACATGTGTCCTCAGCCTGCGGAATTCTTCTATCTGAAAACCAAAAGCAGAACAAAACAGGCTCATCACTGATCAGACATTAACGAAACTGGGGTTTCACAAATGACTTTAAAATATGCATAAATTACAATGACATAAAAGAGAAAATTAAACTTCAAAAAGAGAAAAACAGAATTAATTCTTCCAGACCTGAAAACAGACATTAGAAAAAAAGTCCTTGTACGAGAAGACAATAGAATTAAAGATAGAGGTATTCAGACAACTCTAGTAGCCCTGGAAACACTGCATTCGTGAATGTGAAAAAAGCATTTATGCCTGTCCACAACACAAAATGGTGATCAAATGTGTAAACAGTCTTAAATGCTCCCCTTTGTATATTTTAAATTAACACATTCCGATGTAACTGCATGTCAACACTGATTACATATTAGATTTATTAAGTGAATTAGAGGATTTCTTCATCAAAATACTTTGCTGCTTATCTAGATCTTTAGAGGACACAGATCCAAAGAATACTCCAATCTTCTAAAAGTTTAAGCCCAACTTCCTTTCTTAGCAATAGCAATCTCCAACTTCACTCCCTTCCTCTGATTGCCTCTCGGAGGCCTGTGGTTCACCTGTGATATGTGAAGAGATTTGAAGATTCCTGAGGGAACCATCAGAGGCACTATAGTTTCTTAGACTTGCCAGGTCTGAGCCTCCTAATAACCTACAGCCGGCCAGACAGAATTCTCTGAGAAGTATTATAGCAACAAAAATGTGATGAGCATTCCCCAGGGTCATTTCCAATCATTTGTTACCTGCAGGGCTCAGCATCCGTTACTTCATTGAACTGCTTTATGTCACATAAAACAGCCATTCTTCATTCTTTACACAGAATGGAGAAACTGAGGCTATAGAGATTAACAAGATCTCGTAATCAGCTGGTAGCAGAAATCAGACAATTCCAAATCCACCTTTTATCCCAGCTCCAACCTCTTTAGAAATTCTACTCATATCTGTATAACCTGTATCCTGCACACATCCCAAGGTGTTAATTTTTCTATTTGATCTTAATTTTTATTAATTTTTCTATTAGTTACACATGACCATCCCAAGGTATTGAGCAAATGTGATTTGAATAGCATCAATCCACCAAAAGTTCACCAACTGGGTATCACAAGATCGTATCTATAAAAGTCCTTAATATGACAAAGCCCAAAGAATTCTTCCCTTCATAAAGAGAAAAGAAATGAATGAGATCAACTAATTCAGGGGATCTAAAAAGAAGTCTAGACTTCAGGGAGACCATGAAACCCCTAAATGATAAGAAAAATTGCATATGTGCATTTTCTAAAGGTGATGCTCCATGACTCCAAAAAAGTTGAATTCCACAAGATTCTAATGCCACCTATTCACATACATGTTGGGACACAGAGATGTGGAACAAAATTGTTAGATCAGACACCAAGTTACAAAGCTGAGTTCTGATGTTTCCTTTTTCCATGTCTCCAAATACTGATTGATTTCCCAAGGTAGGATAAATAAGTGTGACCCAACTGGGATTGTCCTGTTTAATTTTTCTATAATGCCTATGGGCTGTATTTACACAACAGTGTCAGTTGCTATTTCATCTACATAATATGCTTTCACTAGATCTTCTTAGGGTCTTCAAGTAGGAATGTAGGTAGCACCCACTGCATGTGACAGCTGGGTAATTTCTAGAACTGATCTTCATGAGAATCCCCTGTAATTTTATGCATTCACCTTAAAAGTTTTCCTAAGTGTGGAATAGAAAGGAACCTCCTCAGTCAGGGAATCCTGTATGGGTTTTATATTCACAGGCTGGTTCCTGTCCTCATTCTGCCACTTGTGACCCAAATGACCACATGACATTACCTCTTCAAGCCTCAGTTTTCACATATGTGCAATGGTAATGAAAATTTTAAAAATTCACAAAGATAGCATAAGAAGTAAGAAAATTCATGAAAATCATTGGAATAGTCTCAAAGACATAGAAAATATTTGATAAATATTAGCCCTCTTACCACAACAACTTCTTTTGAAGTCTAACTGTTAGCATTTTGAGATAAATAGTTAGCTACAATTGATAATAAACCAATTCACTGAGAAAATGTAAAGTCACCTCTTCTAGCATTCACTTTATACATAATCATAAGTTACACCTGTAGCCAGAATCAATGGAGTGGACCATAGACACGGTCACTGATGAACAATGTGGACTAGACACCTAACTCCCTAATGTGCTATATGAAAGACTCCATTTTTATTGACTTTGAAGCTTACTTTAAAGTTAGGTGAGTTTTATATTTACGTATTTTTAACAGAAGTCACATTCTTCAAGCCCCAGGGCTCGACCTGAGGCACACTCTGTGAAAACTACTTCAGGAAAAGCAGATCTAAATCAACAGTCAGCCTCAAATCATTGCTTGCTAAGAAAACGATTCCACAAGAAATGCAGTTCTCTGATCACAGCCATGCTTTGAAGGATTCAAACGTCAACAGGGATGGTGGCAAAAACGCATCTTTCTGAAATGGCAATTTTTCTGAAGTAACCACCCTTCAAAACCCCTTTAGTCCCTTCAAATGGTTTCAAGTGCATGCTGCATTAGCCCACTAAGAAAGGAGGGACTGAGCCAAATGAAGAGGATCATATCTCAGGATAAGAGTCTCCAACAAACTCAACTGTCAGGGCACTGCAGAAAACATCAGTATTATATCTATTTGAACATGCAATTGCATCGTCTTTTAAGGTGTCTCTATTACAATACAGTATTTGTTTTTAACCAATTTGAAAGAGAGATTGGACAGCGGTCCAACACTACAGGAAGAAGTTTTCTAAAGGTATTAGATTGAAAAATCACTATTGTCTGAATCAGAGAGGCAGGCACTCTAGCAGATCTAAGACATTTGTTCAACCTTCACTAACAAATCAGATTACTCGCTCATGTTCAGCTTTAAAACTGCTTTCTTTATGAATGCATTCAATGGGTTAATTCCCAGGGTTCATAGTTTGGCACAAATTAACTTATAAGAGGTCCCAAGTTGTTATGACTATATTTTATGTGTCATCATATTAAAAAGGAAATACAGAAAATCAGTATCCTCCAGGCATTCTTCTCTCTATGGGCATTTGGTTATTTCCATGTCTTGGCTGCAATAAACAGGGGAGTGCAGATGCCTCTTTAAGATATGACTTCAGTTCCTTTGGTTCTGGATTTTATTTCCAGAAGGAGAAATAAGCCAGACACAGGAAGACAGATACTTATGATATCACTTATATGTGGAATCTAAAACAGTCAAACTCATGAAAGCAGAAAGAAGAATGGAGGTTTCCAGAGATATAAGGAGGTAGAAATGGGGAGGAGATAGTTAAAGGTACAAAGTTTCAGGTATGCAAAATAAGCAAATTCTGGAGATATACTATATAACATAATGCCTCCAGCTAACAATACTGTATTATATACTTGAAAAGTGCTAAGGGAATAGATATTACATTAAGTGATCTTACCAAATAAACACATCATCATCATCATCACCACCACCACCCCCACCACCATTATACATAATATGGAAGGAAGCTAACAGATATGTCTATGGCCTTGATGGTGGCAATGGTTTCATGGGTATATTTACTTATTTCCAAATTCACCTAATGCATATATTTGTGTATGATTTATATTTAATACGTATAGCTTTTTGTATGTCAATCATACTAATAAAATACTTTAACAAAAATGTCAGTATTCCCATTTTTCTTTATTAATAATGAAAACAAATGAGCTAGAATAATATGTTATGTTGTGCAGGAGGTAGGGCCTAATAAGAAGTGATCAGGCCATGAGAACTCTCCCCCACAAATGGATTAATGCTGTTATTATGGGAAAGAGTTAGTAATTGTGAGAGTCGGTTTCTTACAAAAGTAAGCTCAGCTCTCTCTTGCTCCCACCCTCCGTTGGTCTTCTGCTCTACACAAAGACCTTCACCAGATGTGTGTGCCATACTCCTTCCTGGTCTTCACAACCTCCAGAATTACAAGTCAAACAAATTCATTAAAAATTACCCAGTCTGTGTTTGCTATAGTTCAGTTCTGGAATATTCCTGAAAGACCCACATGTTAAAGGCTTGGTCTCCAGCTTGGCACTACTGGAGGGTGGAGGAAAATTTAAGAGATGAGGCTTAGTGGAAAGTTTTAGGTCACTGGGAGCAGGACCTTGAAGGTGCTGGTGGTGGCTGACAAGACATTTTCACTGCACAGTGCTGGGTGCATGGCTCAGTGGTGGAGTGTGTGCTCAGCATATGCAAGGCCTGGCTTGATCCCCAACACCAAAAAATAAAATAAAAATTTAAAAAAGGAAAGAAAAAAAGAAGAGGCTTAGAGCCCAACCCACAGACCAGGAACTTAAGTGTCCTAACTTGGACTCTCAAGGCCATGAAAAGACCCATGTTTCAACCTATAGAATTATGGAATGGGGAAGGGATAAAGAGAAGGCAAGACTGAAAAGAAAAAAAAACAGTTGTTTACAGAGTTCCAAGAGACATATGCCCATGTTGTGAAAAACAGTAAACACATTCATGTTCCTTCATTGCACTGGTATTACTTTAGAATGAAAGAGAAAAATCAGAGACAAATAGCTAATAGGAGAATACAGATAAGCTAAGAAATTGAAATGGATAAGTAGGAGGGAAATGCAGGAAAAGGAGAGTAAACCGTAATGATGTTCTACCAATTCTGAGATGAATATTGGTGCACATTTCAATGGCTGGGAAATAAGGATGTGTCTTACAATTTCTGTTGTCAGATTTGATGAAGTTTGGGTATTTTTATTTTAATCATGGAATCTCATTTCCAAGCAACAATCCATTTGTAAAAGAAAATGTTTGCTTATTTCTACTTTGATTTCCTCATCCTTAGACCATTATTTATCTTAAATTTATTTAATGGTTATAGATCCTAGAAAGAAGAAAATTACATTCATTCAAATCCATCAAATCATGTTTTCCCACCCGAGTATATTGAATGCAAATCAGGAATAATGAAAAATTCAACTAAGCAAGGTCTTCTAGTCCTGGATTCTAGACTCAGGGTGCTCAGGACAATGTAAACCCTTAACTCGGGGCTTAATTATCAACACTGTACTTCAGCAGAAGTCTCCTCCTCCTTGAATCTTAGCTGCTGCACATTTAATAGGAAGTATCATGACCCAGAGCACCCTCTTCAGTGTCATTAGTGCACAAACTATTATGTTACAGCAGATGATGCATTTCAAGACACCAACTGCCTCCGTAACAACATTCAGCAGCTTAATTACACATTAACCCACGATATACGAGACATTTTCCTCTAATTCAATGCAAGGTTTTATTTTTTTCTCAGTTTATTCAACTAGGTAGAGACTCTACCTACCATTTACTATTCTTTTTGTTATTGTATATATGTATATATATATATATATATTATTTTATAATATTTCATATATTCTCTCTCACACACATATTCCATATATTCTCCTCCCTTTCTCTCCCTCCCTCCCTCTCTTTCTCTCCCTCCCTCCCTCTCTTTCTCTCACTCTCACTCTTGCTAGCTCTTTTTCTCTCTCACACACATTCCCTGTCTGCCTCCTGCCTCTCCTCCCTTTAAGTACAATATTATAAGGCATCTCAACTTTTCTTGATCTAGACTCTAAAATCACACCCTCTCCCTTTAGTTCCTCTCATTTTCATTGCCCTCTCTGGACCTCTTGAGTTTTTGCCCTGCTTTTTCTGAAATGATATGAGCAGCAGCACCAAGGGAAGCCTTTGAGTCAAGGACAGACTGATTTACACTCTCCCGAGATCACACTGTTTTTCTAAATCACTCTAAATTGCATTTTAATATACATCAACCTGTGTCTCTCTGTGTGTGCACACTGTCTATATTTAACACTCTGGCCCTCTGAAGAGATGCTGCAATGGTGCCATGTGCTAAGAGCACCTAAATCATTTTTCTTGAATGATTACAGCTAATTGGAAAGTCATCCATTTTCAAAGGCAGTAGAGATTTTTCTCTCTAATACACATTCCTTTGACTTTGGCTCCCCTTAAGGAAGATATGGTTAGACTTAGGTCATTGCCTTTATTCAAAAGCATAACAAACCGATGTTCTCTTTGAAGCCAGAGACCTAAAGAAGCAATGGTTTATTCCTGATCTCAGAATAGCCCATGGGTCAACAAGGTAGTAAAATATTATATCCTGTCCACGGGACTTCAGTTAGCATTCTCAGGAGTTCAGCATGAACATCCCCAGTGCTATACCAGCAAGGAATCCTTCACAGAGGTCTAAGAGGAACAAAGAATTTCTGTGGCTCAACAAGGTTAAACCCAACCAACTTTCAATAAAATGAAACTTGTAGTTACAGAGAAAAAGTATTTATTTCTCACTAAAAGATTTGATCTAGTATTATAGAATTATCCCTCAACAAAGTAAAGCTGAACAAATGTCACTATAGAAACTCAGCTGACCTATATCATTTCTAGGTCTAACACTTCTCCCTGGGGCTAAGCCCAATTCACGCATTTCAGCCCTTAACTGCTGTGTGTGCAGAATCTGCTACTCATGATCTTTTTACTCCCTCCAGATGTCCCACCTGCCTCCTGACTTTCCTGCTTCGCAAGCCATTCCCTGGGATACCTCTTACAAAGAAGACCCCTGGTACCCTGCCAGTCTGCAGTTCCCAGAATCACCTCTTTTCTCTTCCTGAAGGATCTCCTCTTCCATACTTAGCGCTTCACCCACCATGTATAGATGTCTACAACCATGAGCTCACAGTTCTCCATAGAACCTGCTCTTTGATTCCATGTTATGCTGAAAAGTGACACCTAATATTCACCAAGCCACATCCAGAGAATAACAGAGGGATCTCTCCTCCCCACAAATCCTTCCTATGTCTTCAGCCACCAAGTTTTGATTCTACTTCCTTATTATTTCTAAAGCGATTCCCTTCCCTTCATTTCACTGCCACCATGGTAACTCAGATTCACACCATCATCCTGCAGCTACAGAAATGTTTCTCAAACTGACACTTGGTCATGTCTCCTCCTTGCTGCATTCCAGGGATTCTGGAGTACCTTCAGGATGAAGTTCACCTCCACAATACAGCATCAGGCAGGATAACAAAAGTCAGGCCCCTACTCTCTTCTCCAACCTCCTCTAAAGAACAGGCCCTCAGGCTAACTATGGGCACTCCCCAGATGCCCTCTGCTTTCTGTTGGCTCCAAGTCTTTGCAGATGCTTTTCACCAGCTGGCAATGTCCACTAATACTCAACCCCAGCCATGGTGGCAGCAATCAGTAGCTGATTTGATCACTGAGTTCATTCTTCTGAACATGACATAAAAATGCAATTCCCAGCCTTCCCCCAGGTAGGTGTGATCATGTAACTAGTTGTAGCCAACAGAAAGTAAGCATAGGGGAGTTCACCATTTTTTAGGACCAGCCCTTGAAAATTCTCTCTTGAGATCTTCACACTCTTCCTGCTGGCTAAGAGCCCCTTCCAAGAGCAACTCTGAGAGGAAGGCACTGAATGCGGACGAACTTCCTTCACCCTGGATTCCTGAATGGCTGCACAAAAAAAGGACTCTTCTATGTGAATCAGTAACATATATGTTGAAATGTTCATGTGAAATAGATATCCACAGTACATAACTGAAATTTTGAGTTTTATCTGTTTTAACAGCTACCATCTTTGCTTTGAAATCTCAAATCTAGATATCATTAGCGCAACCCTCTATTCTTACTATTAAACTCAAATTTCTAACTTCTTCACTCTCCTTCGCCAGACTAACTTTCTAATATTTTTCAGGAATTATTCCCTAAACCTCTCAGTCTGGGTTGGGTTTCTTCCACCTTACTTACTATAATTATGATTACCTATATGACCATTTTCCTCCCCAACTCTGTGGTAAAGTTTTTGAAAGTGAAAACTTTAATCTGTTTTAATCTCTGTACCCTCTATGCCAAGCTGGCACTGAGGAATACGTTTCATATAATAACAAAGATGAATAAATAAATAAAGGAATCAGGATTTGTCATGTGGAAAATATGAAGACTCAGAAGTGATTTGATAAAAGTCCATAAGATAATGATGAGTATGGAGAGGAAAGGCTGGATGGGGAACTTTTAAAATTAATCCCTAGAAAAGAAGAAAAAATATTAAATGCTCAAAAAAGAATTTTAAAGATTTAAGGACAAATAAAAAGAGACCTGAATGTGTTGGCAGGAAACTTGAGCTTCTTAACTTCTAAAAATAAAGGAAGATATCAAAAAATTTGTAAAATGTTACTAAAGAAAACTTAGTTTGTTCTGAGTATTGCCTTTTTGAGCTTGATCATAAAGAGAAAATAGCTTTCTAGAATATGTCCATTGGATGCATCTCTGGAGGACATGAGATATTTTGTTTTCGTTAGCTTTTTTACCACTGTGACTTACCAGAACAATTTTAGAGGAGGAAAAGTTTATTAGAGGCTCATGGTTTCAGAGGTCTCCATCCATAAGACGCTGGCTCCATTCCCCAGGGTTCAAGGTGAGGCAGGATATATGGCAGAAGAGTGTGGCAGAGGGAAGGAGCTCACTTGGTGATCAGGAAGCAGAGAAAGAGTCTCCACTTGCCAGATACAAATATATACACTCCAAAGCCATGCCCTAATACCCACCTCCTCCAGCGACACCCTACCACTTCAATTACCACTCAGTTAATCCCTATCAGGGGGATTAATTCACTGATTGGGTTAAGACTCTAATAACCCAATCATTTCTCCTCTGAACCTTCTTGCATTGTCTCACATGTGAGCTTTGGGGGGACACTTCACATCTAAACCATAACATATTTAAAGCAACTTTCTTGTAATAATATCACAATCGTTGGTTTTTGTTGTTTGTTTTGTTTTTTGGTGCTGAGGAACAAACCCAGGCTAGGCATTGTTTTACCACTAAGATATATTCCCAGTCCCTTCAAAATCATTGTTCAAATTCCTTATAATGATGTTGCCTCATGTTCAACCAGCTAACATCCCAGTGGCAATTCACTTGGGTGTTCCCATCCACTATAAATAAATAAATAAATACATCCACTGGCATTTATGTATTTATTTATTTATTTAGAGATAACATCTTGCAGTGTTGCCCATGCTGGTTCAAAGGATCCTTCCATCTCAGCCTCCCACATAGCAGGATTACAGGTGTGCCACACTGCACCAGTATGCATTAGCATTTAGAGAACCTTTATAGAGTTTCAAGGCCTCAGTGGATGACCCAAAGTAAAGTCATAGAACAGTCTAGAACATTCCAAGGCATTCTTTTGGCTTCTTGGCCTCTCCACACATAGAAGGCTCCTGTTACTGCCAGGGAAGGAGTGAAAAGGAGCTGACAAAAATAATCAGCATTCTCACTTTATTCCAGACCTTTCTCCTCTCCACACCTGAGAAAACATCATAAAGGAATAACTAGACTAATCAAAAGTTTGGCTCTTTCAGTGACTTCTGTTTACTCTGTAAAAACTAACTTTTAAAAAACTTTATTATCTATAAATGAGTGCTGGATTTTTGTTCTTCTTTGACCTTTCCATTGCTTTCACTGGCTTGAGACATTTAACTTTCATCTGAAAAGGTATGACTGATCTAAAGGGAGCTAAAACATAAAACAGACATTTTCCTTTTACAGAAACAATATTTAACCTTTAACGCAGAACTTCACTCTGAGAGATTTAAGAGTGTGCTCACCTGTAGCTGGGATATAGTTAAAGGGTATCGGAATAATATCCAGGTAACACCTTCGCTGCAAGGCGGGATGGTGAGAGAGCCTTCGTACACCCAGTAGTCCCGCAGCAGAGGGTCTGTGTGACCACGTGGATGTGTCAGGAAAAGGCAGGTTAATTGACAATGATCTGGAAGACTCCAACAGCAGTGTTCAGAAATACAAATCTCCCCATGATGCTTCTCAGAAGGGCATAACAATTTTAAGTCAGAGCCTCACATACGTGTTCTTAAACTAATCATCATCAAGAAAATAACTAACGAAAAACATGATGAATGTTTATAGTGATTTTTATCAGCAAATTACTATATGTGTCTATCAGGTTTAACTAATCTAGGAAGAAAACATCCATGTTTCTATTTTCATTTTAGAGGATTTACTTCATAGACTCACATCTAATACTTTTTATTTTTTTTGTACTTATAGATGGACAGAATGCCTTTATATTATTTGTATGTGGTGCTGAGGATCAAACCCAGTGCCTCACACATGCTAGACAAGTGCTTTGCCACTGAGCTACAGCCCCAGCCCTCGTACCTAATACTTATTGAACTACATGGCAGGTATTATTCTGAGCATTGTAACATTAATTCACTTAATCTTCACATCAAATTAATACTCCAGATGCTTCTATTAGTCCAATTTCTCAGATGGGGAAACTGAACCACAGGTTAGGAATTTTCCGAGGGTCACTCAGCTAATAACCGACAGAACCAGACTTGAACCCATGCAGTCTGGCTGCAGCCTGTGCTTCTAACCGTGGTTCTAGCCTTGTCTATATTGTTTCTTCAACAGCAAAATATTAAAACCATAATATAGAAGGAAATATTTCATTCTCATTAAATTATTTAGCTTTGCATTAGAGGAATTCATGATTAAATATAATGGGAAAAATGTTAAGATTTGACAGAAATTGGCTGGTTGTAGAGCAATTAAATGTAGAAAGCAGGACAAAATAAATTATCTGGTTTTGTTTGAAACACTATGAAACAGAATATAATTTAGGCAGAGAAATGTGAAGACTGAAATTTAATATAAAACCACCTTGAAATCCAAGTTTCATTGTGCATATTTTGTGCATAATTATTACCTGTGTGCATAAGCACAATTGGAATAATGTCTAGATAAAAGTATTACTACAATAAAGTAACCTTATGAAATTAGATACAAAGTTTATTTCACTCTAGAGATTAATAAGTACTTTACTGACCAATCTTAAAAGAATATCAAGGTTCATCAAGGTTCTTTTATCATGCAGGCACTTTACACAAAAGGTATCAATTTTTACAGATGACAGACATAAGGAAGTTCTTCATGGATTAATGGAACTAGTAGCAATGTTTTTTTTTATTGTTTCAAGTCTCTACTCCTATATTTGGAGAAATCTGAAACTAGTATTTACTACAGAGAATATCAATTGCAAATAAACTTTATTAACTAATAAGATATAATTATACATATATATATAACCATATATATAACTACATACACACACACACACACACACACACATATATATATATACACTCTGAGAAAAATAGTATGGTTATATTCATAATTAAAATTCATTTTATGGCTAGGCATGGTGACAATGCCTATAATCCCAGCAACTCAGGAGGCTAACGCAGGAGGATCACAAATTCAAGGCCAGCCTCAGCAATGTAGCAAGGCCCTACGCAACTCTGTGAGACCCTATGCCAAAATAAAAAGGACTGGGGATGTGGCTCAGTGGTAAGGCACTCTTTGGTTCAATGAGCAGTACCAAAAAAAAAAATTGCTTACCTGGTAATAAAGTGTTAGGATTAAAGCAGGGTATTGTCTTGGACTTCCCCTGGGGGGAAAAAAATTTACTCCATGTCAATATAAAATTTCTAATTTTTAAAAAATAAAAATATTATTCGAACTAAAATTCTAGATTGAAGTCTTTTCTGAATGGCCTCATTGGGTCCCCTAGATTTGTAGGTGTATCATTCTGCTTTCTCATCAGAACAAGATTGAGATGCAAACAAGACATTTCTACTCTGTGTCTATGGCTATTTTCTTCGCTATTGCAGTTCCGATTGCCCTGTGATTCCTCATGTGGAGTTTACAATTGGTGTCCATCTGTCCCATATTAACTACTTTTTCTGCTTCTATCACACTCATACCCAAGACTTGGTATAAAACACAGAGCCCTGGCTCAGAAACTTTCCTCTTGCCTGTTTGGAACACAGTTCCTAACCTCTTGGGCATTACAATCTCTGACACCCAACTTGTCATTTTGTCCCATGTGCATTTGAAAATTCAACTCTAAGAACTATTCTGGGTGATCTTCTCATCCAGAATGGGAGAGATGAAATTCAGATATGAATGTTCTATTCCAGTCAACTTTTTTCAAAGCAAGATTTAAATTTTAAGGGAAATATCTGCACCCTTATTCAACAGTTGACACTTATGATCCTTATTTTAAATTGTGTCATTCAAATGCTCAGGCCTCAGAGGCAGGAGGACAGTTGGATTTCTGTCTATTAATACACAAACAACATTGTAGAAGTTTCTTCCCTCCTTCATGGGATTATTTTATACTTTAAGGAATCTAGCCCTCTTTGTCCTACCCCAGATTCTGTATTCCATAATGACTGATGTCCTGTAAGCTAAATAAATGAGGGAGATTTCCTCAGTGCATTTCTACTGGAAAATATCAGTTCACAAAGTGTCCTCACCCTCTTTATACTTGTTTTCTTTTGACTAGTGTGGACTCCATCAGTAGCTGGGTTCCTTAAGAGCCCACCCAGCAGAACTTAAGGGAGATTCTCCCTGATTCAAGAGGCCCTGGAGGTGGTCTGAGAGATCTCTTATACAACCAGTCTTTCTATTTTCTTTCACATATCGCCTTACCTCATTTTGAATGTCTCGGAGGCTCTTTATCACAGCCTTCAGAACGACCTGTTCCTTCCCTATGCTAGTGGAGAACCACAGTCACACTTGATTCTCAGACTGATCTCATAATTGGCATTGGGTACTTGGAACCCCTAAGTCAAGCAAGCTCAATGCCTGCTCTATATCTCCAGTGGCCAAACAGGACTAAACTACTACCTGGCACAAGATTACTGACATTCAACTCAGCACAGGCATTGAAGGTCCTGTTTAAAACAGAGCTTAACTTCCCAGCAATGCTGTGTCATGACATTACAGGGTCATATTGATCTAAATCGCCTTCTCTGGTATATTATCATATGGATTATGTGTCCTTCTATTACTACTATTATTATTGTTGTTGTTATTACTTAACATACATACTTTGAAGTCTGGTTCCAATCATTTATAATGCTTTCCTATAATACGTAACAGTAAGGGTTAACTCAGTAGGCCAAGGCTGCCCAAACCCTGCACATCCTGTCTTTAGTATTAGCCCTTGGTTAGCTCTTAGTAGAAAACTCCTGGGCCCTTGGGACATTCCACCCCATAAGAGACCTGGAGAGCCTGGGTCTTGCTGTATTTATGGTGAACTCCTAATGATGCCTGGAGCCTTGGGCCAAGTTGCACCAGTGTGAATAGACAGGTTTGTCCTGCCCATATAATTTATGGATGCCTGGTTTTCCTAGGGTGTGGGGAGGAAGCCTGGAGTTTGATGAGCTGAAGTGGTTAGGTAAGCCCTTCATGCTTACCTGACCAACCCCTAATAAAAGCTCTAGATGCCAGGACTCAGGTGGGCTTCCCAGTTTGGCAACATAATATGCACCTGACGCATGGCTGCTGGGAGAACTGGGGCATCCCCATGAGACCTTCTTGGGAGGGGATACCTGGAAGCTTCTTCAGGTTTCCCCTGAACTTTAGCCCACCTGTGCCTCTGCCCTTTACTTAGATTTGAACTGTAACTTTGCACTTTTATATCCCATAAATAGAACAGCTTTTCTGAGTCCTGTGGATTCTAGAGAATTATCAAGAGTTGGTCCAGGGGCCTCTTAGACACGAGAGTTTCTGTTTTAAAGAACAACTTACCTTATACTGAATATCCTGGAGAATCTCAGTCACAGCCTTGAGCCCAACATGTTCCTTCCCTATCTGAAATGTATAAAGCATAAACCACAAACACAATATTTTAAAATTCTTTACTTTTATTCAAAATAGTAACCAAAAGTGAGGTTCCAATCCACCTGCATGTCCTTTCTGGGGAATTAAATGACCTTTCCTTTTATGGCCAGGTCAACATCTACTTAAGGTATCTGAAGTTGTAACAGCTAGTACAAGAAAGTAAATTAGCTATGATACCCAAGAACCCGTTCGGCTTCATATTTCTATGCACAGGTGTCACTCACTGTGCCATAATTCAAATACTAAATTAAACAAGACTATTATATAAAAGTGTCAAGCCTATATTTTAATTAAAACCACTCAGTACATATCCAAACTCTTGCATTCTTGCCTCTGGTGTTTATAGATCATTATTATAAATATTTCTCAAAGTTGAAATTTTTTTTGAAGAGTAGGTATGTGATGTTCTATATTAAAGTTACCAAAATCAAGACGTTTCTTGATTACCACTGATCATAATTGTTATAGCCATCATTTTATTTAATCTTAAGAATATGCTTTCAATAGCTTTCTATTATGAAATAACACATATCCTTGGTATACAAAGTACTCCAAAGAAATTTGAGATTTGAACTATTTTTTTGATATTTAGTGTCCTTGATGCTGACTTTGCAAATCTGAAGTGCCAGCTGATTCACACTTCCAAAGCTTTCAGTGGTCCATGACAATGGAGAAAGTAAGAGCAGAGATCACTTATCACCTCAGGAAACAATCACTGCTATCCCTCAGCTTCTTCTCTTCCACATACATTTTTGAAGAATGACCTATGAGAAGCTGGACTAACTTTCAACATGCACACATTTTCTATTTTTCTCAATATCAACCGACTGTAAAATATGCTAGGGGGGAAAAAAAAAAAGACAAGAAAAGCCTAACATAAGATAGGTCAATCTGTTCAGTGTAATCAGATTCCCATTATTTTTGAAGTGTCTGCAATTCCTGAAATAGGTTCTAAAAACAGAAAATAAATTTCATGAAGTTAACAAAAGAAGAAGAAAAAGAAAAGAAAAATGTCCCCATGAGTGTAGGAGGCTGGATCTTAGGCAAAAGCCTTCACCCCGTCTTCAGAAGAAATGGACCCTCCTCGTCTAACTGGTTTAACTCGTAGGCAACATTTGGATGCCTGCACCTCTGGCCGTGGTCTATTTTCATTTCATGCAGCTCCTGCCAGACCATGAACTCTTTGAGAAGATTCCAATCTGAGTACTGTAAGGCCACATAACAGTTTGTCAGGAGTGAGCTCCCTCGTGTTGGACTACCTGGATTCTTATCACGACCCTGCCACTTTTTGGCTATGTGACTTTGGGCAAATGTGCTTAGCCTCACCAGGCACAGTGGTGCATGCCTGTAATCCCAGCAGCTGGGGAGGTGGAGGCAGGAGAATCATGAGTTAAAAGCCAACCTGAGCAACTTAGCGAGGCCCGAAGCAACTCAGTGAGACCCTCTCTCTAAATTAAAAAAAAAAAAAAAAAATGGGTTGGGGCACATGTGGTTCAGTGGTTAAGTACCACTGGGTTCAATCCCCAGTACCAAAACAAAAAAAAAAAAAAAAGAAAGAAACGTGTGTGTACATGTACTTAACTTGTATATCCTTTGTCACTCATAAGTGGGGAGGATAAAGTGATAGGGTTGAAGGTCAGATCAAATCAAACAACTTGGAACAGTGCTTAGTGCACTATCATTCAGTTAATGTCACTCATTATCCTGCTTAACCTGCATGGTGTTGTAGAGCATCAAATAGATTTTACATATAGTGGCACTTCATAACTATTCATGGCTCTTTCTATTCATGAAGATTCTTCACTTTACAAGCAAAACTTTATATCCCGCAACAAACTCCAGCTGTTGCTCAATCACCTTTCTTCTTTACCAAATAAATTCATATGTGAAAAAGTCATAACCACCAAAATCCAAGTACACATGACAGTCTCCACACCCAACTGCTAAAATCCTGCAGCAGCTCCTGTGCCAACACAATCCGGTGAGTCCTCCAGGACAGTGAGATCTGTCACTTTCTTACCTCTCCCCTTTGCCATCTTTCACCACCACCAAAAACACAAACCACTCTCATGAGCCTCTTCTCCTGGAATTGAAGCCCTGTTTCATCTATTTTTTTTCCATTTCTGCCTCACTCTTGCCTTATTTCTCACTGTGCTCCCTGGACTCAGGATGGCTGTCTTTGACAAGCTCTCCTACCACCTCCTGGTCTATGAGAACCCCTTGGGTGTGTCCAAGGTGCAGCTCTCAGGCCTTTCCAGTAAAAACTGGGCAGCCTCCCAGGATGGAGACTATGGTCAGTGCCCTTCAGTTTAGTATCTCTGACCTGCATGCACAAGGCTGTCCTTCTCTGAGTGGACTGTCCTCTTCTGATGGTATATATGCTACAAGAAAGCATATTTGAAAGGACTCAATGCTCAACTCTTTTTGGAAAATTAAGTAACTAAAACCATAGCATTAACATTACGACTGTAATCCAGTTTATACAAGAGGCAACCTGCAACCATGCAGAGTTGGCCCTCTGAGTTTTGGTGCAGATTGGCAGATTACATTGTTGTGTGACTAAATAATTACTTGACCTCTCTGAGCCTTGATGTCTCTTAAGACTGGTGGTCAAGGGATGTCTAAAATTTCCATGATGTCTTTTACCTCTAAATCTTTTATCATAGATGATAAGAGAAAATTAAAAAGATTCACCTCGGTAAAAACTGGATTAAAATTTTATCTATGTGAACATATGGTCCATTTTTGTATGTTTGGCTAAATTTATACACAATTCTTTGCCCACCACACAGCTCAAATCTAAAATTTATGTTAGCTAAATCTTCCATCATTTGCAGTCTTATTTTATCAGTGTTTTCTATAAAGAATTTCAAATCATCTTCAAGTGAAAATTATTAATAATGAAGAGATAAAGTAATCCACTACATGATTATATTATTGATTTTTCTTAGATTTTGCAGTAAGCTGGAGTCTAAAAACATTTTCTGAAATGCTTTTTCATAAATAAAATGAATTCTGCCTTCAGGAGACATTTTCAAAATCATTTCTCCAAAGATGCTGAATGCCACCCTGTAGAAAATTTCTAATAAATAAATGAACTCTTTTCTATCAAGGAATATGGCTGAACTCTCATGAACTCCAAAGATCAAGTTTTCTATTTTTACATTATTGGTGTTCTCTGTAAAGGTGTTTAATTTCACCTTGAAGTAATAAAACTGGGAGAGAATGGAAAACCATCTTGCAAAATGACTTAGAAAGCAGCAGCTCTGAACAGCACAATAACCACTGCAGACCATTTACCTGAACGAACAAGGCGATGATGGCGATTCCGTGCGGCTTCCCCACAGCCTCGTCGATGCTGCCAAACAGAGTGGAGTTCCAGTGGATCAGATGGAGCTGGTGGGCAACAATGCACAGGTTACTTCTAATGTCCTTCTCTTCAGAAAAATAAAGCCACATCACCGACTTCACTACATCTACATGGTCTTCTATGCAACAAGGGGGTCACCAATGTACACAGGTTACTGCCTCCATAGGAGGTCTCTGGAGGAATTCCCTCCTTTACCTCTCTGAACAGAAGCAACAGGTCACCGCCTCTTGAGTTCTCAGTTTTAGTCCTAACTTAGGAGAAGCTCAGTGAGGGAGACTCACCGATTTCACATAGAGTTAGTGTCTTTCCTTAAATGACATTCCCTCTGGAGCTCAAAGAAACAAAACTCCAGGTCTGGACACAAACACTACTCACTCGAAGGATGGGTACCCACATAATCAAACACAGCATCACCAACCCACAGTACTTCCATCAGGAAATGTGCAAAGCCACTCTCAAGTTCTGGTAAATTATTTCAACTCTAGGACTATCCAAAGATAACATAAGATAGAAAAAAATTTAAGTACTGCCCTCTGTTCAAGTATTCCATAGTAAAATAATACTGATGTAAATCTCCAACAGAAGTTCATTTCCTACAATTGGGATAAAATTTTATCTATGAAGAAAGGACAATCAATGCTCAAGGTCCCTTCCTCCTAACCTCATACAGCTTTGCAGCTTTCAAGCTGATCTAGAATATGCGCTTGTTCCTACAGCAGCGATAAATACTTGCAAGAAGCCACATCTAGTTCCCACACTAAAAAAATCAAATGGCCACAGAGATTACAGCAGCTAGCTAAAACCTTGTGCCCACCCACTTGAATCAAAGTGTGAAATATGATATATCAAGAAATTTGTAATGTTTTGAACAACCAACAATAAAAAATTAAAAAAAAAACCTTGTGTCTAGAATACCATCTTCAGTAGTATACCTTTTCATCAAACTAATTCCTTACCACCTTAAAACTTTGTCCCACATTTAAAAACTAGTTCTTAATTTAAAAAGACATAGATAAAACTCAATATTTATGTATTTAGAATCTAATTTTTTTAAAATTAACACACAGACTGTCAAAACTTTGATTTTTTTTTTTCACTGCTGAATTTGTCCAAATAGAATCTGAGATTATAAAACTGACCACTAGAGGGAGGTAAGAAAGTCCAGCATAGAAACAGCAACCCAGGAAAAGAACACACCAAGACCAGGCTGCCTGGAAAGCTCACAGGGTCTGGAAGCAGCCAGTAAATGCTAACTGTCAAGGCACCGCCTTCAAGATAACAATGTCCTATGACTTCTCAATTAATAATAAAAGACTAACTTTATTATTTCCTTCTCTGGCAGCAACAATAGCACAGAAGTCCTTGTGGTACAGATAAGAACTGACTGCTTTCATTAAATCAACAAAGAAGGTCTAGGCCCAAGGTTGAGTTGTTGTGTTTTGTTTTTTTTTTCCCCAACAGATGACAAAATTCAAACTGACATTTTTCTTCCTTCTCATAGCAATATTATGGGTTATTTTTTTTTTCCTTTTCTGAAACAACACATTAACAAACCAAATAAATAAATAAATAGAGCAAGCGTGTTTTCCCCCACACACACCATTCCTCAAATCTCAAAACCTTGGATTATCCAAATCTACTTCTGTTCTCCTGTTGCCACTTCCTTGTTCCTATAATCTTATCCCATTTTGCCTTTTGTTAGTATTGGTTCTGTTCCATAAAGTGGAGCCACTGAGGTAGGAAAATCACAAGGTCATACAAAGAACTCTGAGCACATGTCTAAGCCTGTCCCTGACAAGAGATGATGCTTCAAAAGTAGAAAGGTCAGAGTTCTCAAAGCTTTAATTCTGTCATCATTCGATTTTGGAAAACACTAAAGCAATATACGATTGCAGTGAGTATTATTACTTATGCTGCTTAGTATTAGTCAAGCTTCCCCATGATAACCTCCTTCCTTTCAAAGTTTCTTTTTGGAGAATGGGGGATGGATTAGAGGTCAGAATATAAGCTAGGAAGCTGCCAGAGAGTATCAGTTGAAAAACTAAGATAGGGATATGGGATGATAAATGTTATGTGTTAACTTGGCTAGGCTATAGAACACCAGTCTAGATGTTGCTGCGAAGTTCGTTTTTAGATATGATTAGCATGTAAGTCAACAGACTGAGTAAAGTTGACTGTAATCCATTTTATGGGTAAACCTCATCCAGTTGAAGGCCTTAGCAGCAAAGACTGAGTCCCTCAAAGAAGAGAGAATTCTGTCTCCAGAATACAAGATCAAAATTCCCCCCAGACTCTCCAGCCTTCAAACTGCAACAACTTTTGCATGGATTTCCAGCCTCAGCCATAAAATCAAATGGACCAGCTCCTTAATTTAAATCCCAATCTTTTTTATTCCTCCCCCAACCCTCCTGTTTCGCTGAAGCACCCTGACTAATACAGCTTGTGTAAATAAAAATGTATGAAGACCCATGTGAAGTAGGATAAAAGAAAATAAATATAGGTAGAAAGAAGGAAAAAGGAATGAGGAGGAGACTATAACTTTAATCTGAAAGCCTTGTGCTGAAGTTCTTCGTATCTTCACTGCCAAACCTAGTTTTTCCCCAGACCTGTCACTTCCAAATTGCTGGGAAGTCCACAAATCTTCACTCACAGTCTTAAAGTTACTAGAAATTGACCCACTTACAAAACCTTGGATTATCCAAATCTACTTCTGTTCTCCTGTTGCCCCTTCCTTGTTCCTATAATCTTATCCCATTTTGCCTTTTGTTAGTATTGGTTCTGTTCCATAAAGTGGAGCCACTGAGATACAAAGGGCATACAAAGAACTCTGAGCACATGTCTAAGCCTGTCCCTGACAAGAGACTGGCCGCCCCCCACCTCCCGCCACCAATATCGTCACTTTCCTGTGCACTGTAATAAGCCCATGAATACATGTGTTTTTAGGATAGACTGAACGAACAGATACAAACCCAGGGTTCTTACCCAATGTATCTATTGATCAGATAATGGAGAGGATGTCAACCTAGGATCCTGAGAATTTCCAGGTCACTATAAACCATCTATGATCACCAGACTGATGACATTCTTATCTCAGGATGGCAGGTCTTTGATGCAGCTCATCCTGGATACTTCCCATGCGCACGCCTCCCCAAGCTTCCTTTCAAAGAAGAGCCCAAGACCCCACAGCACTGCTCTCTAGAGATGGCCCATGTTCTCCTGTGGATGCATCCTCCTTTCTTTCATAATAAATCTGCTTGTGCCTCCACCTGAAATTATCTTCTATAATCTATGTCAAGGGCCTGGCCATCCTGAGCAGAGGTCCCCTCTTTGGGGCCGCTTCAGACCCTGAATTTGGTGGCAAATGCAGGTCCAATCCTGAAGAAGGCTAAATATACAGGAAGGGAGACAAAGGCCCCTAACAATTAAAGTGAACATTTGGTCATTATTTCCCTAAGACTAGACTGAAGAATCTGGGGACAAAAATCCCTCAAATGATCAGAAGGAACATGTCAGACCTTCTACTGTATTTCTATGAGATGCCTTTTATTTCAATTTTCCTTTGCTTCACAAAACACATAATATGTATAAGAGTGGCCCCCCACCTCCCGCCACCAATACTGTCACTTTCCTCAGTTAGATACCTGCAGTCAAAATATTCAATGGATAAGTCAAAGGAAAAAAACTCATAAGAGTTTTAAATAAATAGTATATTATTATAGTTGTTCTTTTATTAGCTTTTATTAATCTCTAACTCTGCCTAATTCATAAATTAAACTTTATCACAGGTATGCATGTATAGAAAAAAACATAATACAGACAGGGTTTGGTACTATCTGTAGCTTCAGACATTTACTGGAAGTCATGAAAAATATCCCCTTTTGAAATAGGGGATTGCTCTATACATATTAATGCAGGGACATATTATTTTGAAATATAGTCATAGTAAGGATATCTGCTCCAAAGTTTATTCTAATGGAAATGGTTAAACAAGGACACATGGAGACAAATTCATGGGAACGGAAAAGCATATGATACTAAGGATATGGTTCAGAAAACAATGAAGCAAAGTCCAAGGGAGGGAAGCAGTCTTCCCAGCCGTCTCCAAGCAGATGGCTATTACCAGCCAAGGGGCCTCAGAGGACCGGCTTCAAAGCCCAACAGTGCAGACTGGCTCTGGGGCGTGGCTGAGCTAGGGCAAGCTGAGTGCAGAGGCGGCCACACTGCACACCTTCGCAGATCCACTGATGATTCTCAGAGGCACTGCGTGCTCACAGAAGACCTCCAAGCTAGGAGTCACGGGTCCCTGATTCTCATTTCACTTCCACAACTCTTTAGCTCTGTGAACTTCAGAGTCACTACCTCCTTTGAACATCCATCTCTGGAGCACAAGGAGAGCAGCATCTCATAAGCTCAGACTGTTCACGCCCTGCTTGTCTTCCTCCAGTACTCTCTTTATCCCTATATTCCTATCACATTTTGCTCACAATAGCATTAGCTGTCTGTAGCCAGCCAAGAAATGCAAGCTGGGGAATGCAACGTGAGGAGGGAGAGGGGCTAGCCAAGCCTGCCCACGCTGCTTGCTGTTGCTAAGGAGTCCAAGGGTTGGATGGTGTTATCACTGTCTCCAGACACAGCCCACTGTGCAGGGCCACCTAACTGCTTGAGGGGCCACAGAACCAAAGATACCCCCAGACAGGACTCAGCTTCACCAAGGCCATCAGGAGCCTGGACCATCTTTGCCCTGTGAACAGAGTATAGCAGGTACCGAAGGGCTGCTGAGTCCTGCAATAGCAGTGGTTGAGAATTGCGGGGTGAGATTTCTACAACTGAACCATCAGCAGGGCCCATACTCCCCAGTGACTCTCTCTCAAAAGGCAGACATTTTGGCTTCCTTCCAAAATGGGCCTGTCAAAGAAAAAGGGGGTTTTCTCTAAATTAGCCACGCCTTTCCTCACTCCTTACCACCTCTCTCCCCCTCCTCATCTAACCCCAGCTTCACCATGAGGAACGCGTTACAAAGAAGCAA